CAGATCCACCTCTCACCTCCCTGCCCTCCCCTAGGGCTCCCCAAGGACGCAGCTTTGGCTGGCTGCTCTCCGGACTCACCTGAGAGAAAGGTTAAACCCGGAGCCGCGCGGAGGGACTCGGCACTTCCCCTGGCTGTCAGGCCAGGCACTGTCCTGACCCTGAATTAGGCCGTGAAAACGATAGCCGCTGAGGCCCACATAATAAAAGTCGCTCCATTCCCTGTCCCCTGTTCATCAGGTCACAAGGGACCATGACAAAGGCCGCCATTCATCACAGCTCCGCTGCAGGCCGAGTTCAGGGTCCTTGGGGGCCAGCAGCCTCACCTCCACGCCAGCAAACAGAACGGGGCGAAGCACACAGCTCTCTAGCCCGTCGGGGTCCAGGCAGTGAGCTCCAGAGAGAATGAACCCAGGAGCAGACAGGAAAGCTGGGCCGCCTTGGAGAAGGCCCTCGGTCTCTGGGCTTCGTTTTACGGCTGTAAATGGGGATACGAGTAATGAGGGGACTGACGCAAGGAGAAAACGTCCAAGACGTAGACACATGCTGTAAAAAAAAAAAAAACACAGCAAAAGGGCCACTCAAATGAGGCGGTAACAGTGGGAAAACAAGCAGTGTAGAATTTTTGCAGCAGTAAGGGAGCCAGCTTGCGAGAGCCGGTTTTTAAGAGCTCATTTTGATAGCCGGTGACGTCACATCGGTAGCTTGAAACGATCTACAGTGGGAGTATCTACACTAGGCCAGTAGTCGAACACTAACTATCAGGGATTTCTTTTCTCCCCCAGAGAGGCGATCATTTAGCCTTTACCAGCACGCCACTGCCTATCAATAACTCAGCCAAAGTCAGTTTGCTGTTGCTTCAAACACACCATAACTGCACACACCCGGGTTGACTACTTTAAGACAGCTTGGGAGGCCCTATCGCTTCCTAACACTTACAAAACGTTTCCATTTCTACATTTATTGAGACTTACGACGGGCCCGGGCCCAGGTGGTGGAGGTGTGAGAAAGCGCACACCGTGAGATGCTCTGAAGGGGGCAGGGCCAAGCCCCAGGTGTGGGGTCCAAGCCCGTGCCACTGGGCAGGGCACTATGGGCAGAGAGAATGGCTAGGGCACCGAGGCGTGGATGACAAGACAAGTTTTTAAAATTCCTCTCTAAGAACTGGCTTTGAGGAGGTTTTAGAGTTGTTACATTACAGGTACCACTTATTCTAGAAGAAGAAAAAAGACAAGAACATCCCTCACCCTGTCCCCGTCACCAGAATTTAGCACCAAGTTTCCTTCGACTGTTTCCAAAACCCAAATCTACTTTCAGGAGGGGAATTTGCCATCCCTGAGACCAGCTCCTCAAAACAAAGAGGACCTCCAAGAGACATCTGATAGCGGCAGCATCCCTGGCGTGTCTGAGCCCAAACTCCCGAGGTGAGGACTTCCGGCTGCGGCAGGCACGGAGGTGTTCGCGGCCCTTTAACTCCCATCTCATCGCTCAAAGGCGCTTTACAGGAAACACGGGCACCAGCTCTCCTCTCCTAAGACATGTGCACGTTCTGCAGAATGCCAACATTTTAATTTCAAAAATGAAGGGAGGGGAGGGAGGAGCGAATCCAAAAGCTTCCAGACAGAAAAAAGGAGGTGCCATCAAAGGAACTAAAGTCAAGGTGACCTGAGACTCTGCAACATTAAACACAGAGAGTGAAACCAGGTCATGAATCCTAAGCCGGCCAAGTCATCGTAGAGGCAACAGAATGTCTTTCACTCATTCACAGGTTCAGCACATACTCACCCACACGCCCTTTTTGAAAAAAAAATGTTATATATATATATATGT